TGTAATAGCTGTGTATGATGTCAGAGGGGTGGTAGATTGGGGGAGGGGTTATCACTTTGTGAGGGGGGTAAATGTCTAACTATTACATTGTTTTGTACACCTGAAACTAATAAAAAATAAAAAATTTTTAAAAAGAGGGTACCAAGAGAATACAGCCGAAGAAGACCAAAGTCCTGTCATGGGATGACACAGAGCATGAAGCAGATGAGAGGAGTGAGGTGTCATTCCAGGAAAGCATTTGGAATCCTGTCAGATTCCCATGGGAATTAGCCAACGCGTTCACTACGAAAGCAACAGGCATTGTGGGATTTGGTTTTAAATGTAAATGCCAAACCAACAGACCAATAAGGAGAAGAAAAAAGCTGTCAGACACATATTTTACAAGCAAAGATGGAAGTCAAGTCTACTCAATTATCTCACCAGTGCTTATTGGGGACATGAAGCCGTTGCCTCATTGTAAGGCTGGTTCCCCAACGTCCAGAGTAAATGAATCTCCCTAAGGTTGAAACTACCACATAGGTTAAAATTGGGGCCTGAGGAAATAGGGGATGATTATCAGTTTGAACGATAAGACAGGTAACTTTTTGGAAATCTGTTTGTTTACCTTTCTACAGATGAGCTATAAGCATTTAATTCAAATTCATAAAAAGAAAAGAAATAAGGAAAACTTAGAATAATTAGCTTGAATACCTAATGAAATCTTTCCATGAAAATCTGAACCTATTTCTATTAAAATTTAATGCACAAGTTCTCATATTTTGAAATGTAACCCATAACAATACATCAAATTCAAGAATAGTTTATGACAAATGTTAGTCACAGGTCAATACATGAAACCCTAGGTAACCACCTAGATTTATCTTATTATAATCAGAAAGACTGGTAAATTTTTACATTAAATATCTCAAAATTAATAGTAAAACGTATTTTTTTCACTTACCTGATGTTTCACTTTCCGCCCAGAGCGCTGCTGATCCAGATAAAGTTCTTTGAAGTTGCCCACGGTTTCCTTGTTTAGACTGAAGATGGTCAATGAGAAATGGGATTGGATGGTCAGGCGTTTCAGTTATTAATTTGGTCATTAACTCCTGAAGGCAGAAGAGAGCATACATTTACATCTAATAACAACAACCAACACTTACATAGCACTTACCGTTGCCAGGCACTGCTCTAACTGCTTTTATATAGCAACTAATTTAATCCTATAACAATCTTTTCAGGCAGGTATGAGTTCTTGTCCTCACTTTAAGGAAACGGAAGAGCAGAAGACTAAACTGTTTATGTTACATAACTAACGCATGGCAAAGCCAAGATATGTTTATTTTTATTTTTATACATGGCCAAAGACAATACTAGAAATTTAATATAATTCTTTTATAAATTATAGTCTAAGAATTTTAAACTTCAGACTACTATTTTTATTTTATTTTATTGGGGAACAGTGTGTTTTTCCAGGACCCATCAGCTCCAAGTCAAGTAGTTGTTTCAATCTAGTTGTGGAGGGTGCAGCTCAGTGGCCCATGTGGGGATCGAACCGGCAACCTTGGTGTTATGAGCCTGCGCTCTAACCACCTGAGCTAACCAGCCGCCCTGAGATTACTATTTTTGAGAGATGCCATTATAAACTAAACTTTTAATAAACCTCACCATATACCTTATATACCCAATGTCATTTTTCCTCCTTCAGCATATACAAATATCCCAAAATGAAGACAATTATATTGAAATGAAAAAAACAAGTCACAAAACTCACAGAAACCAAAATGTGTCTTAAATTAGCTTCCAAACAATACAGAACTTCCTTTTTCCAAAATCCCTGAAGGCTATTCATTCTTTCTTCTTTTTTTATTTTTAAAGGAGTTAGGCAATGGAGATTTTCTCTACCTACCAAACAGGCAGTTCATGTTTGGACAGCTCTAATGACCCTTTAAATTGGGCAAAAGTCTGACTAAGAGTAATATCTACACATTGTTTTTTGCCAGTCAGGAACAGCCAAGAGAAGCTCCAATTGGTGGTTGGTTAGAATCCCCAGACTGTTCTCATATGAACAGCTGCCAAACCATGTGAACATCATTCTGTGCTGTTTCACGGGATTTGTGAACTTGCTCGAAACATTTGACATTCCTATCAATCACACTTCATCATTAGTTTTTGCCCCAAATTCTAGTCTGTCAATTATCATTTCAAGTTCAGAATCTGTGCGAGGCAGTGGTTCTTGTGAGTAGGCCAAAGAATCAGATGTTTCAGGGATAACAGAAGGGATATTGGAAATTTCCCATCCCATTGTCTTTTGTTGGTGGTGGTAGCCTACTTCCTCTGCCTTGAATGCTTTTCTCTCAGATGTCCAGGTGGCTGGCTTGTCATCATTCGTCTCTAATGATACCTTCTTAGATACCAATCTTCATAAATCTTTATCACTTCATTATTTTATTTTCTCATTTAGCACTCTCTAGAATCATCTCATTTAATATCTGCTCATTTGTTTGTGCCTGTCTCTACTCCTGCCCTACAAGGGCACTAAGACGAGCAAGGATGGGCCTGGTTTGACCTCCACTCTCTCCCTAGGGCCTGGAATTCTATGTAGCTCATAGGTGATGTTGAATGATGAGTGAATGAATGGCTTATTGACCACAGGTAAATATTAGTAAATAAAGCCCCCCACTGTCCTAATAAGTAATAATTAAAGCATCCATAGATTTCTTAGCCCTGCAAAATATACTCTTCTAACCTCCTGTACAAGAAACTGCTGTCACAATATCTCATGGATTTTTGTTGACATCTATAACAGTCTACAAACACATTTATCTGAGTAGAGGCTACATGGAGATTGTAGATGACAAGATTCCAAGGTGATCTCAGAGACATGGATAAAATAATTCAAGGTATCTCAAAAATGTGCAGCTAGAGATGGAAGCAAAAGAAACAAAGGAATTCTACAATACACACACTGTGAAGCTAAATATTTATCAGACAAATGTAATACTTTTTTATATTCTTTAAAAACAGGTAGGCAAACAACCAGTTGACACAGGTCTTCTTTATTTCTGTTATTTAAAATATCAATGATTATAGTTACAACTTAAGACGTCATTCCTCTATTGTGGTAAAAGCATTGCAGGGTTCAATTAAACCCCAATTGTACATCAGTGGAATTCAATTTAAAACATTTTATAGAAGAGATGTGTTATGTTCTATTTAAATTCATTGTACATTACAAAAGCTATGAAAAAAAAAAAACAGAGAGAAAAATAAATAGAAGGACCAAGTAGACTAGTCTTGTCACAGAAGGCCTGGGCACTCAGATAACACAAAATTAGGTCAGATAACAGGGCTTTAAAGCCACAACAATTTCTACCCTGAAATCTCTGAAGATCTCATGCACTTTTTTCTTTACCTTTCAAATTATATGGAAAGTCTCTGTGGGTACTTTTTTTCTTTTAAAATAAACTGCAGTGTTCCTATATTGTCTTTAGAAGATGGATGCAGTCATAATAAATCAAGTAATCACTGTTATTTTGTTTAGTATCATCAGCCTAGTAACTAATTTTGGCTATCCTTATATTCCATCAATGACTATATGAGATTAAAGACAGGACAAACTCAGTCATAAGCAAAATGAAAACAATCAATGTTTGCAGTAGGGTATGTATGGTACTTTGGTCCGGCAAGAATCTAGTTTTGGGTTGCCACTGACTGTTGAACAACATGGGTTTGAATTGCTTGGGTCCACTTATATGTGGAATTTTTTTCCATTCAGTAGTTAAGTTTTGGGAAAGTCAAAAGGTATATGGGGATTTTTAATAGGGGGGGGGCGGTTCTAACCCCATGTTGCTCAAATCTCACCTGTACTGTATTTATAAGGGGACTGACTGACTTATCCTGCCTCTCCCTCAATCCACGCATCATCCGCTAGCATTAGGACGTGAATGATTTTGTGACTTGAATTTGACAGAAACCTCTTTCCCACGCGTGAAATTTTAAATCCTTGGGTTTGCAAAGATGCTCCTGGCAACAAAAACATTGATTTTTTTCCCCCCCTACAAGGATTTATACACACAGAGATAGGACTGAGAGGCAGAGAGATTGAGGATGAGAATAGAGCAGTGCAGCTGGAATGCCAGGTTGGAGACAGAAACCCGACTGCAGTAAGTTGCACAGTCTTATCATTCACCATAAGGAAAAAAGTATTCTAGAACAGCAAGCCAGGGTCAGGGACGGAAGCTGAACACCAGGAGGGAAAGTTCTGTGTTTCCTGGGAGGAAGAAGGGGCTCATCTACAATTCTTACCATGACTGCAAAAGTTGTGACATGAAATTCTCTGAGTGCCAGAACCTGACCAAGGTAGAAACGTTGCGCCTGGGCATCGCGACGTGGGCCACCTGTGGGCTGCGGGGGGACGCCAACCAGGAAGACCTGTAGCGCATTGACCAGGCGCTGGTACCTGCCTGCCCGCTCTGCCCTTACAGCGGTTCAGCGCAGGCACAAACCCAGATCCAGGCCCAGGCGCAGGCGCAGGCGCAGGCGCACTATTACTTTCCCCAGACACGCGAGGAATTGGGAAAAGGAAGAGATGGAGGAAAGGTTTAGTTACCAAATGAAACCAGCTCCACTCATGGTAAAAATGACTCATGGTTTCCAGCAACTCTTAAAACTGTGTTCAAAGTTTCAAAAACTAGCTCTGATCAGCCCATGCAGAGTTAGTGTTAATAAGTGTTTGAATAACGTGAATACAATTCTAGGTGACTCTCATCCCATTGCATTAAATCATGTGTTTACCAGCGCAGCTCTCTGTGGAGTTTTTGAGGTTAGGATACATGTCTTAGACATCTTTGTTTCCCAAATTCAAAGAACAGTTTTTGGAACATTTGCTAAAAGAATAAATGAACAAACTACATCAGTAGTGTTACTAAAAAGCTTCTGTAGCTGTATATTACCTACAAACATATATATATATATATATATAT